CGTGCTCCACAACAAAGCGATGCTGGAACTGAAAGCACCTGTTGTCTTTGTGTGGTCATCACTGGTGGATAATTCGGGATAATTACTCATCCACGCATTGCTGTTTGCCTGTGCTGCAGTCGAACTACTTCGTGTGATGCACATGTCTGAATATTATCAAGTTATGGCAGGAATGCAGAAAACCATCTGCCAGTTACTTGTGCATTTCATGCACTGTATGGCACGTTGAACTCCTCATTGGAACTTGCCAGCTATGACCTGGTGACTGACTGGAAAGCAAAGTGTCTGTGGCATCTAGACTCCCAGACTTTCATCGGAGTGAGTGTAAGGAGGGCTATTTTTATGGTGCACACTTGTGTGCGATAATTGTAGAAACTCGGATGGAAAGTGAACAAAACTTGTGTGCACATACGGTACATGTACATGTATTAATCAGGAAGCCTACCAACGAGCTGTCGGTGAGTTCTTCTTTCAACCAGTGCATTGCGAATCGTACATGTACATATATGTGTACCACAGTGAGAGACTCCATTCTACAAGCTCTCACGCTGATGATGTTGTGCTTGTTTTAAACAGTTTCCACTTTTTTGTGAAGGATTCGAGACAAATTTGAGCTAACAGCTGTGCACCTTGCAGTCTGTAGATTGAAACTACCACTTATTTTGGCTGTCAGTGTCCCCAATTGTATCCAAAGTTTGTCAGCAGAGTTTTGGCAATATTCAAACCTGGAAAAGAAAGACGTGGACGATTCGCTGAAGTGATTTTACATAGTCAAGGGAAGAAAACCTCTTTTGAAAAGTTCCTGGGATGTACATGGAAGTTCTGGCCATGCTGTGAAATAAGCAGTTTTCCACGTGTATGGGATTTTTAACATTTAAAGTGACAGATTTTGTGAGAGCTGTAAGCTACCAAAAAACCATTTATAATGGAGATGTCATACCAAGACGGAGCTCCACCCACTGACAGCGAGGCCGCGAATCAAGGCAGCACCACTTCCTCTGCCAACACAAGCTACAAGGTCTACCTGTCCTCGTTATTTCTTTCTTTTTACTCAGTGTTCTCCAAAAGTGCTGCCTGCAAACACTTTCGCCGGCTGATCGTTCTCATGTCTCCCACTGCTGTCTATTTTTGTTTGCCAAATTGTTGTACAAGGAAGGTATGTTTGTGGAGGGAGATTCTATGCATGATTTTAAGCATGCTGAATACACATACTTGTACATGTATAGACCTTTTCACACTAGACAAATCTCGGGGTTGACACAGGGTTGAAAACTGGTCACGATTCACACTCGAAAATTTTCAACCAAGCGCCAACCCTAAGAGTGAATTNAAATCCGGGTTGAACTCAGCCCTGCCCTGGACCATGATTGAGATTTCTCATCCTGCGTTGAAAATTTTTTTGTGCTCATTTCTGGGTTGAATTTTCCCTGATAAGCTCAATTCACCCGAAACAAGTGTGCAACAAGATTGGGTTGAATGCAACGTTGAAACATCAAATTTTCAACCCAAGGTGGTCATGGGCTCGCCCAGGGTTGAGATCAACCCGGAACGTGAGGCTGTACTGTGGAAAGGCCTTATGTGTTTGAGCTGTTAGTCTGTGCTGTTGTGTAGAACATGCACTATGCTTCAGAATAAAGATATCTGCATAGTATTTTCAGTGCTTGAAACTTCTGTGCTGGAGGGACTGATCGGGAAGCCTATTAGTTTGGAAATATCAACCAAATCTCAAATATTCCTCATAACCCAAGAATGGCCTGTATCAGCTATCAATCCCATGCTTTTGCTGAACCAATATGAACTAGTTCGGTATTTCAGTTGTACATGTACATGTGCATGTAGAAATGAGGTATGGTGTATGCCGTTAGTGGACATCAATATGCATGTACAGAGTCTGTCCAATCTTATCACAACAGCAGTATGCCGACATAACACACGCTGATCATGTTTGAGCTGGCATGGCATCAGGCATGTCAGGTGCTCTTTTTTTCAAACGGCCATGCCTTTTTGAAGTACTGAATTGGCTCGTTATTGGTTGGGTCAATCACATGTACGTGAAGTTGAACCCAGTACGGCTGTAAAAGCCAATATCTCACAGTCTCGCTTGTCTAGCTGCTTTCATTTTGTAATGGAAGAATTGCACTTGGAATGGAATTCGGCTGCTTGTGTGCATGGCTAGTCAGCTGGAGAGAGAAAAAACAGCATAACGTATGCACAAAAATTCACCTGTGAAACACGGACAATAAAAATACCTCAGTTGGCTGTTACATGTACAGATCTTTTATTTCTTTCTCTTGGATTTGTGTTTAAAAGTTACCTCATTACAAATTACCCCAGCAGAGATTACGTAGAAGAATGTGTAAATTCTTCCAACTGTACAAGTCCCATGAATATCTTCAGCTATTATTATACACCGTAGTAGTCTTCAATTATTCACCTGTCGGTGGCTGGGGACTTTTCCAAGGGGGGGATCAGATTTTTATGTGATCATTGCAGACAGGTGGACACATCTATAGAAAATTGTGCATTTTAATGATGCACTGACCTATATATATGTATACATGGAGTAGGAATTCATCTTTTTTTTTACTATTACTGTAGTTAGTTCAAATTTATTTGTGTTGGGGGGGTTGACCCCTCTACCCCCCCTTTGATTCCACTACTGGGAGCATTTGAAGCNCAATCTGGGTTGAACTCAGCCCTGCCCTGGACCATGATTGAGATTTCTCATCCCGGGTTGAAAATTTTTTTGTGCTCATTTCTGGGTTGAATTTTCCCTGATAAGCTCAATTCACCCGAAACAAGTGTGCAACAAGATTGGGTTGAATGCAACGTTGAAACATCAAATTTTCAACCCAAGGTGGTCATGGGCTCGCCCAGGGTTGAGTTCAACCCGGAACGTGAGGCTGTACTGTGGAAAGGCCTTATGTGTTTGAGCTGTTAGTCTGTGCAGTTGTGTAGAACATGCACTATGCTTCAGAATAAAGATATCTACATATTACTTTCAGTGCTTGAAACTTCTGTGCTAGAGGGACTGATCGGGAAGCCTATTAGTTTGGAAATATCAACCAAATCTCAAATACATGTATTCCTCATAACCCAAGAATGGCCTGTATCAGCTATCAATCCCATGCTTTTACTGAACCAATATGAACTAGTTCGGTATTTCAATAGTACATGTACATGTGCATGCAGAAATGAGGCATGGTGTATGCCGTTACGGGACATCAGTATGCATGTACAGAGTCTGTCCAATCTTATCACAACAGCAGTATGCCGACATAACACTCTGATCATGTTTGAGATGGCATGGCATCAGGCATGTCAGGTGCTCTTTTTTTCAAACGGCCATGCCTTTTTGAAATACTGAATTGGCTCGTTATTGGATGGGTCAATCACATGTACGTGTAGTTGAACCCAATACGGCTGTAAAAAGCAATATCTCACAGTCTCACTTGTCTAGCTGCTTTCATTTTGTAATGGAAGAATTGCACTTGGAATGGAATTCGGCTGCTTGTGTGCATGGCTAGTCAGCTGGAGAATAAAAACAGCATAACGTATGCACACAAATTCAGCTGTGAAACACTGATAATAATAATACCTCATGTGGCTGTTACAGATCTTTTATTTCTTTCTCTTGGATTTGTGTTTAAAAGTTACCTCATTACAAATTACCCCAGCAGAGATTACGTAGAAGAATGTGTAAATTCTTCCAACTGTACAAGTCCCATGAATATCTTCAGCTATTATTATACACCGTAGTAGTCTTCAATTATTCGCCTGTCGGTGGCTGGGGACTTTTCCAAGGGGGGGGATCAGATTTTTATGTGATCATTGCAGACAGGTGGACACATCTATAGAAAAATGTGCATTTTTAATGATGCACTGACCTATATATACGTATACTTGGAGTAGGAATTCATCTTTTTTATTGTTACTATAGTTAGTTCAAATTTATTTGAACACCCCCCCTTTGATTCCACTACTGGGAGCATTTGAAGCAAGATATGGGAAGGAGAGAACCCCCCCCACCTTTGTGTTGGTCATTGTTTGATCGGAATCTCGGGAATTCTTTGCAGACTTCCAGGGGGGATGTGTTAGGTAACAATAGTCTAGAGTGTGTATAGGGATTGGACAGGTAAGGGGGGGTACCTCTCCGTCCCATATCTTGCCTGGTATTACTGGGAAGATCAAGGGCTTTTAGAAGTAAAATTGCCAAGTACTGGATATTCATTTTTTCAATATATTGAGTATTTATTCATCAGCTGAAGAGGTTTTTCTGGCATATTGGTTGGCTATTACCACTTTGCATCCTTATGATAAATTTAGAAATACACTGACTACACTTTTGTTTTCTTTACCACCTGTTAGAACATTTCAATGTCGGCATAGTGCTCGTTAGTGTTCATTTGTTGGTTCTTCCATATGCTTGTTTATTTCTTGCCTCTTTGCAAGCAAGCACACTTGCTAACTTCAGTCTTTTTCTGGACCTTGTCTCATATGTTTACATTATAATTGGAGTTCTCATTCTTTTCAGTTTGATGTATATTTCCAAATAGGTCACTTGGGAGACATTTTGTGGTAAATTTTTCAACATTAGGAGACATCGGTCATTAGGGAGACATTTCAATGTCTCCCTAATGCTCCAACTACCAAAAGGAGGAAAAATTTTACCGTCCACATTTTGAGAGATGATAGATTAGGGTCTGAAAGGAAAATATGCAAAGTTTGGTTAAGATCAGATTAGGGAATATTGAATTATGGGACGATAAAGTTTGAACAAATTTTGTGCACGTTACTATGGGAATGTCTCCCAAGTGACCCATTTTCGGTAATCTGTACAATTCCTGTGATCTTTTACTATTTGTTTTTCCACAGCCCTTGATTGATGGTTCAGATGGTGGTTACCAGAACAAGTCCAGGAAAGAATCAGAGTATGATGGGCCATCTACAGCAAACGCATGGTGTGCAGGCTGTTCTTTTCTGTCAATTTTTTTTACATAAAGTGGCACAACTAATTATGTGAGACTGGAAGGAATGGGGTGGAGCATGTCCACTGTCAACATTTTCTGGTAGACAAGGAATGGACAGAATTTAGTGATGCTACGATCTGAGTAGCATTTAGTAGCCCCTATTTACAAACTAAATGTACTGTTACTCAATTTGATGTAACGAGACATTAATTATGGTGTCATTGAAATTCCGTATGTACAGCCTGGGCTTAATTATATCTAGCCATACATTTAGTTCTCAATGCATTGTAAATATCTTAGCCATAGTTTTAATGTTCTTTTTATTATTGCATTTGCAGGTGGTGGCAACACCCTGATGTCAGGCGGAATTGGAAAGCTGTGCTGGGCTCAATTGTTATGCTCATCGTTGGGATTTGTGAGTTGTAAAGTGTTCCTTGCATTGCACTGAGAATCAACAGATAGGGCGACCTTTGTCAAACGTGGACACATATGCAAAGATATCATTCAGAGAACTAATCACATAACATGAAGAGGCACCTCATGGTGGTGGATTGAAAATCAATGCGGGCGTTTCACAATAGTGCGCCTCCAAGCATTGGCAACGCATTGGCTAATCACAATGCATGAAATCTGTCAACCCAAAGCTTGTTGGAGAGGGTTGACAAATTTTGTACGATGTGATTGGCCAACGCGCTGCAAACTCTTGGAGGCGCACAATTGTGAATCTCCTATATTGCTAAGCATTTATCTTTGTAAGCCTTTTATTTTTGTGGCCGGTGTAATTTGAAAGTGTTCACCACCCCCCACCCCCCCAAAAAGAACAAAAACGAAATCAATGCAAAAATTTAACCCCCTCGGATGTATGTAAAATCATATTGAAATCGGAGGAGTTTGGACTACTAGGGATAGCTATGGAAGGTATTTGTAATTGCCTGGTCAGTCGTGATGAAACTGCCTTTGGAATTTTTACAACTGTGAAATTTGTTCAGTGAGACTTCCAGTTTTCTGTTTATAAAAATAATTGATAAAATGAATTAACAACACCAGTTAAACATGCATGTATATATATTTTTTTAAAGATCTGTTTACAACTGACGTTAAAGATAATCTTCTTAAGGCCGGTTCATACTCCTCGTAAAAGCAAACACAAATGTGAATTAGTGACATCAGATCAAATAGTCGTGCAGCAAATCAGCAGAAGTTGAACTCATTTCAAGTCGAGCGACATTTCACTGCAACTCTATTGTGACGTCAAATTGGCTTCGCTCTCGCATTGGCGTGTAGTTTGAACCCGCCTTTACTTTGTTTCATTGCAGTGCTCATAGCTGCAGGAATTGTCTTTGAAGTTACCCGCCAAGGTAGCTGGATGCTCTTTTTTTAAATTAGGCTTTAAATGTTTTAGGGAAGTGGCAAACAAATCCAGTTTACAAAGAGTAATACAGAATGATAAATGTTATCAGAGAGGTTTGGGAACCTGGAAAATACCCAAGTAAAAAATTCATTCGTTGACATTGGTTTCAGTTACACTCGTCATACTTGCATGTAATCCAAGCGGGCAATTTTGGGGGAATTTGGGAGCTCTTAAATTTAGCAGGTTTCATGCTTTTCTGCCACATTATATCCTATGGCTTCGATCCTTTTGAACACCTGAAAGAAGTTGGAATTTACCTGCTTTGCAATAGCTCTTAAATTACAGCATTGTTAAAAATTTGTTGATCGTTTGTCTTTTCTTTTTAGAGCATGTGGCCTGTGCGATATTTATCATCATCGGGGTCCTTTTCTTCATTCCTGGTTGTAAGTATCAGGATTCCGTGAGTTTCCCTGCTTGTGAATTTTACCCTGCTACATTTGAGTCAAACAAGTGTGAGATTGAATTCAGTAAAATATCAAGACGTCTAATTTTTGAGACAGCGATCAGCCTATAACGCTGGAATTGTTTGTTTTGTTTAAATGAAATTCACAGACAGTGGAGAGATTACAAATGCTTATAAATTGTTTGAAGGGCAAAACTCAACATTTCCTTTCTTACTTTTCCTTTCTACAGTGTACCATACTGGATACATCTACTTTGCTGCGAAGGGCATCCGAGGCTTTGACATGAACAAGCTCTCCATTTTCAACATGTCAAGGTGAAAGACAAAAGATTTGGGAGAGGAAGTGGTATCTCTATTGACGCCGCGTGGCTAAAGACGTTTGTTATTCTGACTCATTTATTGTCCGCTGAGAATTCTCAGAAATTTGCCTTAATCACCAACCTCCCTATATCAGCTGGATAGCATATTCAGACTCGGGCACGGAAGTCACAAGATACCCTATTTGGAGGCCCAAGATGAAATTGAGATCTCAGAGTGGGCTTTCAAATCTTGACCGTACAGCCCGTTTTGTGTGGGTTAAGGTTCTTTACATTCATACCAGAAATTTAAAGCAAAAATCTCCTTCATGGATCAGTTAGTTCTAACCGGATATAACTTGAGTGCCTGGGAAATTACAACATGTATAGCGTGCAACGCTGCACCAAAACAGATGGCAACCATAATCCACCCCCAGCTGAAGTGCGCCCCCAATCGGCGAAAGAAAGACAGGTGGTTACAAGCAGGTTCTTGCATGCATTCTGTGTGTACGCAAAGACCCATACATGCCAGAATAAATTAATTACGGGTACTCAGCGTGCTCCACGTCAAATGCGCATGTACTTGCGCACGTACTTGCGCACCTCATGGCGCACCTGTGTGGTAAGTACCAAAAACACACGCCCTCTTTTGTTCCGCTCGGAGCAGATAGGGGGCCCCCCAAAAGTTGAATCACAAAGGCCTCATTTGTTTGTGCATAGCGATAGGCACGTGTAATATTCAGTCAGTATTAAATTAATCCCCCTCTATGCAGTAACCACATGCAGGGCTCCTCCTTTATAAAAACTGAATCAGGATATGAAGTAGTGAAGCAAACAAGGTTTTGGTTCTTGATTTCGATTGATCAAGCTGGTAGGCCTAAAGCATTGAAAAAACACACAGCCGTAGACACTCATTAGGAAGGTTCTTTGGAGTAATTCAAATTCAATACCTCTTTACGTTGTCAATTTTGTTTATGACACGTCTTAGCCCTTATTGTACATATCAATGAGTCTGAAATGGTATCGAATTGCAGCACTAAGCAAAGATTGTTCTTAATTATTTATTGTGTAAAATTGATTTTCAGCCAGTAAAAACGCCAAAGGAATTCACTTGAAAGATATGTATTATGAAATTGCATAAATTCGTAAATATTTATTTCAATTCATAAGGATATCTGCTGGTTCATACAGGTTTGAAAAGTACTATAAATATTTTGTTGTGGTTGCGTTAAGAGAAGTAATTAATATATGCATGTTTTAGAAAACTTCCATAGTTATTTCAAATTGAGGCATAAGCTTCTAGAGTTCACGTTTGACAATTTTGTGTTCTTTTAAGTAATTGATATATGCATGTTTTAGAAAACTTCCATAGTTATTTCAAATTGAGGCATAAGCTTCTAGAGTTCACGTTTGACGATTTTGTGTTCTTTTATGTAACTTTAATAATGCACACCCACCAAATTTTGACGGTGACTGTGCAAACTTAAATGAATGTGCAAAATATAGCAAATTTTTAGCCATGATTTTGTCATCGGTCGCAACTCAATCTTGCGTTGATATGAAAGAAGTGGAGGAATAGTGTAACACTAAGTGTATGTGGTTCATGAGCAGTCTGTGATATGACGTCCCTTCCCCCCAGGTGCTGATGCCGCTAGGTTTCATGGGGGGGGAATGGCCAAAACCTGGGGCTTTGGGGGGAGAATTATGTGTTGGCATTTCGGGGGTCAAGTTTATCTCTTCAAAGTGTGTAAATAATCAAAAACAGCCTAAACCCTAAGAGAGGCAATAAGCAATTTGCCCCCTCCCCCACAAAAATGGTTCTGGATCCACCATCGAGGCCCACCCCCCCGGCCTGAAATCATCTGACTGTGCCACTGACAGCATGTACACTGTAGTCACAACTGTCCGTGTTACAACCAAAGTGGGACTTTTTAATTAGCGTTGCTATACAAAATGCACATTGATGAGTACACAGTACTATACTGCAGAAATTAACAAGCGCAAATCTGTAATGATGACAACACTGACTGCTAAGTTGAAGTGTCCCCGGCCATTTATAAATTTGGTGTCATGTTTTTGTTAGTACATTTTAAAAGTTCTTTGAATTCAACTGTATCAAACCTTGGACTTAAATTTATAAAAAATAACTCCAAACAATTATGTAAAAATGACTATTTTTGTAACACGTGTGTTTCTTAATTAATAATTTGTATTATTTTTATTACTTTATACAGGGTCCCATTAGACCCATTCAGCATATAAATGATGGGTGTACATGTATCATGCACGTACTGAAATGCCCTCATACTATTTTTAATTTTAAGAAATTTCCATAAGTCAATTCAGTATTAGATCACTCTTGCAGGATGCAATAGAGGGAATGATTGAAATAGTGTAAGTCATCAGGTAGGAGATTTAAAATGTGTAAATTTCAGTTCAATGCAATTCCAGACTTATTTAATTACATTATAGTCAGCTGTAATGAAAAGATTTTTTAATTATTCACCGAGTTCCATGGAAAAGGTTATAAAAAGTAAACGGACTTGCCCACAGATTAAGTTTTGGTTTGCTTTCTGTTCACATCGGTGCATGTGTGAAGTAACAAAGAGCTTCCCTCAAGATAGCAAAGTATTGAAAACCGGAAACGGACACAGTTATGCCACAGAGCGAAAAACATACGAGTGGAAATGTGATTAATTGAACCGGTAAGCCTCGATGGGAGTGGCTGATAGCATCAGAAATTTGCTGGTATCTCAAGCACGCCTGAAGTAGTGTGTTCATTTTTGTTGACGGCCATAAGGGAAGTGTTATATTGCTCAGTAACCTGTAGGCTGTATTTATGTTTAAAATTGAGAGGCACAGCATTCTGTCACTCCTGCCATGCTCCAAGAGGTACCTATCCGAGGGGTGGGGGGAGGAGACTTCCCTTACCTCAGCCCTGGGACATGTTCCCACTGTTGGTGATACCTTGAAAGTGCCAGCACTTGAGAAATGGCTCTAGGCACTTTGGGGGTGGGGGGGAGGTAGGAGGATTCTATCGTGGATGGAAAAGGGGACAATTACCTAGAAACAAGTTCCTCGTTTACATGCCCCGCCCCCTTAAAACACAGATACACCACTGGATCTGTTGTAATTTTCCAGGATGGCTAGCAAACCTATTTCAAATCGCATGTTGAATATTTAGCACTCTATTTTGTAGCCTGCATATTTGAAATTCACCAAGAAAGGAGTATGATTCAAAGAGATACATGTATGTACCGCTGCTATTTCATGCAGCTTTTAAGCTTGCTCAAGGCCCTTTTTCAGGTCGTGTTCTCTTATTGCTTCCACATTGGAGATTTTTTTTTTAGGATGTTCATTTATTGTGTAGGCCAACAAATTTAAGGGGAAAAATGAATTTTCTCAAAACACTGCACTATCTCTTAAACCAGGAAGGTTAATATATTGTACAACTTTCCATAATACTGCAGCGATTTGGGGGTCAGGTAGTCTTTACTTTCTTCTCGACACATCTCATCGTAAAGTGTACAAATTAGAGAAAATGAAATTGAACTTTTAGTCGAAATAAAATGGCTTCTTGTAATAAAGTTTCAGATGAGTAGAGTAACTTCAGATGGTGTTGGGGTGTAACTATTTCAAAGGATTCTATTGAACTCCACAAGCCTTTACATTGAACTTATTTAAAATCATTAATAACAATTGTATGCTGCTTCAATGAAAGTGACAGTTTTAAGAATGAATTTCAATAGCGCAACCTACAAAAAAAATGATGCATAACACAAGTCAGTGCCTGCTGAAGTGAATAAAAATTTCTAGAAGGAATATGGTTGACTTCTAACCAAACCTCAATTGAATCCATTTCAGAAAGCAAGGGATGCAATATGTACATGCATACTGTGCATTATTATATCTAGCACCCCCAGTGTACTAAAATTGCTTTTTAGACAAAATAAAGGTACATGCAAGCACAAAAATGAGACGCAACTCTCCCCAAGTCACAGGTGGCTTTCCCCAAGTTCTTTCTTCATTTACTGCCTTTGGTGTGCCTGCCAATTTTTTTACATCAGGTTGGAAAGAGACATGGTAAAATCCATTCCTTACTCAGTCTTGGGGGAACATGAAATGGTACACTTGTGGGGTCCCTTGATTTGTTGATCATAGAAATTCTCACAGCAAAATGCAACGTGATCCCCACGTGTGACTTTTCACATGACATTCCTACCACAGTTTCCTTCAATTTTCATATAATTGGAGTAATAATGTTATTTCATGCATCAAAATGTCAACATTTTTGGAGGAAGATCTAGTTGTTTTCATATTGTTTATTGTACACCAGTTTTGCAGCAACCACATCTTCAGCGGCCATGCCTAGGGATTTGAAGAGTGTCGTCTCATTCTTCCTGGCTTTCACTTTGCCTAAGATAACCTCTCCGATTTCGCCGAAGACTTCAGCCCCAGAGATGATAATGTCTCCTGACTCTTTGAGAGCAGAATCCTTGGTGTCGGTGTAGACAACTGAGCGACGTACGAGAACGGGATCAAGCTCTTGCATTGTCGGCACATTTGCACCGATGGAGATTATGTGCGCTCCTTCTTTCACCCACTCGTTTTTGACTATGGGCGTGTCTGTGCCAGTTACTGCTGCTATGACATCAGCACCCTTCACTGCCTCCTCACCAGTCTTGCAGGCGATACAGCCGTTCTCAACTGCGAAGGACTCGGCACGAGCATAGGTTCGATTCCACACGTGGACTTCTGAAAAGGGGATGACATGTCTGAGGGCTTGTAGGTGGGTCTTGGCTTGAAGCCCCGCCCCCAGGATGGCAAGGATCTTGCTACCCTCGGGAGCCAAGTACTTTGTAGCCACGGCTGATGCTGCTGCTGTTCTCATGCCAGTGATTTCCTCTCCATCTAAGACTGCTTTCAAGGAGCCACTGCTTGGGTCAAACAGGGAAATAGTTGACTGGAGAACCGGTAATTTTAAATTTCGGTTCCTGGGAAACAATGTCAACATCTTGCAGGCCAGACCGCCTTGTTTTTCGCAGAAGGCTGACATGATCAGAAAGCGCCCACCCTGTTTCTTGACAGGACAAATCGAGCGGGGTGGCTGCACCACGCCCCCGTCTACCCCGTTAGAAAAATCCCCAAGAACTTGCTCTATCGCTGGGATTAAGTCATCGTATTTCAGCACTTTCTTCACTTCCTTTGAGCTGATAAAGGGGATGGATGCCATAGCAGAAGACATGGCAGCGCGTAATTCCAGCATGGAGAAAAGAAAAATTCTCCTCCACGGTTTCAGCAACTTTGTAACAGCAGAAGTTGTTCCTTCGGCTCATCTAGCTAGGGGGGAAAAAACAATGCTTCAACTTTGTTCCGGTACGAGTTCAAGTAGCCTTTAGTCAAGGCGCGCGTGGCTAAATTGACACACGACGCGTACTCCCTCTGCTTGCACATCACAACGAAGACTGCCAGCACGAGAGTGCAACAAATAGCCACGCGCGCATTGAGTAAAGGTTTAACTCCCCGGACCACGTGACGGTACCCCACTGGGGCACCAGAGGGGGTGCCAGATGACGTCTGCGCAGAGTGGATGCGTTCACTATCAAGAACAGCATATTGAAATTTTTGCCTTCTTACAAGTAGTACACAAGTGAAATTTATTTTGTAACCTGCGCTAGCGATTCAGAAACGGATATACTTTTTTTCTGTTTCTTCTGCTAGAAATACTGGTCGAGTTCGGGGGTCCGTTCTTGACAGGGGTTTTGTGTTCTCCGACGCGCTCGAATCCCGGGGCGGGAACAGGACCCAAGAACACTGTTCTCGGAAGAGGATCACCCCTACGTGACCACCTCCTCGTCAGGATTTTACACGAACACACAGAAAAACTCGTGAGATTTGATTTTTGAACAGCCGCAGAAAGTGCCGATATGGCTTTACAAAGCCGAAGACAATGGGAAGTTTTGCAAAATTAACATTAATAATTTTCCATGACAGAAATGAATTTTTTAAATGGAAAATAAATTAGCCCAGTTTTCCAACATTAACTCTCGAAGAATGCTCAAGGACGCTGCCATGTTGCATGTTGCTTGCCACAGATAACTACCAGCGCTAATAACCGGTTATACATTCCCGGCGTTCGAGCGACCGACCCACGAACAACAAATCGAGCTGTTCGTGAACAAACTAGAACAAGCCGCCCAAACTCGGCCAATACTTTTTCTACAACATTCTGCATCTAGAGAGAAAGAAGATAAAACGCTTCTATCAGTACGGTGGACTAAAAGTACGCCATCTGTTTTTGTGCTATATATATTTAAAAAAACAAACAAACAAACAGCGAAGTAGGTCCAATGTTTTGGATATGTCTTCTTTCTTGTTTTTATGCCAGCCGAGATAACAGATCGAACGTTAACAGGTGGAAAGGCTTGCAGTCGCGCCATGCGTTTCCACCTACCCGTTGCTGTCCTTCACCATGAATAGCCTGAAATTCCATCACATCGAACGTTCTTAATTAAGGTGGATCCCAATTTTCGTGGGGGAGGGGGCAAAAAATGGACAGTGTTTTTTTCAGTAACTGTAGTTTATGGCTTTTCTTGGGGGTGAGGCTAACGTTTAATTTGGGGGCTTTTTACACGGTTTGGAAACGATGGACTCAAAATCAAACAGACTCAAAATTTGCTTCTTTTTTTCTGGGGGCGGAACATGCAGGCTGTGTTGCCCCCTCAGATTCGCCATTAAACTTTCTTGTGCCACTGGTCTAAAAATTGTGTGGGCTACGTCAGGCAGCTAAAATGAACACTTTTGTTTAACACCACCTCTGTCCGAATAGTGATGCAGTGTTTTTGCTGATCCTTTCCTGAGCTCAAACTGAAAAGAACGAAGATTCTAGCACCGTCCTCGCTAGTAACTTCGTGGCATGATAGCGCCCCCAGTGCTCATTTTATCCATCTAGCAAGACATGTACGAGCAAAGCATTTCATACAAGTTGTATTGTTTCAGTGGCGGATCCAGGGGAAACAAGGGCTGCCCCCCCCCCCCGAAAGAAGCCATGGTTGTGAAAAATTCATGAAAAATGAATATATTGAGTCTGTTATTTCCTGTTCGTTCAAAAAGTGTGTAAAAAGGCCAAAACTAGTTACACGTCAAAACTAAATTTGTTTCCCAAACTTAAGTTTGTCCCCGCCCCGGAAAACTTCGTAGGCCTACTGAATCCGGCACGGTCCTTTATAATTGCATTAATTAAATGATAAAAATGATCTTTCAGAGAGGTTGATTGGATTCCTTCTGTATTTGTACGGGTTTTCAAAATTCAACGAGTTTTTTCTCCACTTAACCAGGTCAGTATTAAAAACATATAAAGCCTCATCGTTAATGATTGAAATATTTTCTAAAACCTGTGGGTAGGCCCTCATTAATTCTTGCACATGTTGCCTTTCCTGGCAAATTCATAATAACTCTTCATTCTGTACTTGTATGACCATACGAACGGAACTTCATCTGGAATTGGGAGTAGTTTAGGTCTTAGAAGTCGGCACTGTTTTAAAGGGTAAAAAGGTAAAGTGGTAGATTAGCTTTCGGGTACAACCACGTGCCTATCTGTTCTTTGAAATAGTGGTTCGGAAAAGAACCACGTACTGCGCTAGAGTGTTTAAGTTCTCGACCATCTTATAAGTCTCAGCGAATTCTGTTCGCTTTCAGCAGGCAAGGAGGCAACTCCCCCATGAATTACTAAGAAAAGCAGGTGACCCCTTTCGATCGGACCATCGTGACGAACTACTCGCTGCTCTCCAGGAATGCAGAGCGGGATAGAGCTCGAGGTACCAGTAACTTATGGCTGACAAATCAGCTGCCGGCAGTGCCGGGGTAAGCAGAATGACGTCCATTTTTTATACATCAGATTATGGCAAAACGCTCAATCTGCTCTTTCGCTATTTCAACAGAAGAAAAGCAGCAAGTCGTCCTTTTTTAAGCCCCAGTACATCGACAGAACTGTTTTTCGCGACCCCAGGAAATGTTCTGACATCAAAGCAAACAGGAAATATTGACAATCTGCTGCAGAAAAGTTCGAACGGCAACAGAGGGCGCTAGATTAAAAGTTAACATACGTACGTGTACATACATATACACATGACATCGTTTGTCTGCGGTGCAACGCACGTATAATGTTTACTGTACATGTACGTTGACATAGCGATAACGGATGAGGGTTATTTCGTTCAGTCTGGCTCAAAATATTCTCAGGTTCCTTTTCAAGTGAAGTGTGTCTTGGTAGATTTTGTAAGTTTACAGGTTTGTATGAAGCCAGAATGGGTGAGCTTGCACCCTACTCCAGAAATGTGAGCCACGTCGTCATGGTCGATGGACAACTCGACCCTTTTTGCCAACATCACGCATGCCAACTTGACTTGGGACAACTGGCATGACTGGACCGGTGGTAGCCCCAGAAGTTGCTCAAGGGGGGTTAGCGGGGCGGACAGTTCTGGGGGTAGACCGATGGGACAACTCGACCGTTTATCAAGTCATCTGTTAAGAAAACTGGACCTTTCAAGACATGTACATGACAGAGTTTAGGGCATTTGACACAGATTGCAGGTCATGTCATGCATGTATTTGGGCAAATTTGCTAAATGTCAAATTGGGCCCTACTTACTTGTTGCGACTTGACTCGCCAGGCATGGTGTGCATAGGGACCTGATGACGTAGCATGCACTGGACTGGTGGACAGTGGGTCAGCCTTCCCAACAAGCATGGTGCGTGGCTGCGATAGCGATGTGGCATGCACAGTGTCATGGCTTTGGACACACTGTACCGATGATCAATTGCTATAGTCTGCCGGTGTGGGACGTGGGAGATGGTAAATCTGTCCCCCAGTCCTTTCTCTTTTTAATTTGGGGGTTAATGCAAAGTGCAGGTGGAAGTGCACCCATTATGAGTCAACTTGTCTCAATTGACAATTTGCCCTCACGGTCAAGTTGTCTGTCCATTTGAGCCACAAAGGTCAAGTTGTCTCAATGGTTGAGTTGTTCCAAGTTTAGTTGGCTAAGGGTGAGTTGAGTGAGGGGGAACCAGTGGTTCGACCATGCTCTACGGCCGGATTCCAAATGGTCAACTAGATGGTGCTATTTCAAGATGTATTTTTTTGCATTGGGGAGATGTTAATTTACAACGGGTTTTGCCCTTACCCAAAGTATGTATTAATAAACACTGTATGCTCAATGCTTGTCCGAGAGCTTGCGAAAAAATTCACAAGCTTACTCGGGTGGGACTCGAACCCACGACCTCCTTGAAATAGTTCGCAGTATCCGCTGCTACACCTGACTCGGACCGGCCAGCCGACCACGGCAAGCTCGGTGGTCGAGTGGTTAAGACGTCTGCACTAGTTAGCAGGAGATCGTGGGTTCGAGTCTCACCCGAGTAAGTTTGTGAATTTTTTCGCAAGCTCTCGGACAAGCACTGAGCATACAGTGTTTATTAATATACGTTGGGTAAGGGCAAAACCTGTTATAAATTAGATGGTGCTAACCATTAATCGTTTTGGCGATGTTGCTTGAACTGTAGTTAACTATAGTCCTCATTGAAACTTGCCCCAGTCTGAGCGTGTTCACTCTTTGTTTTATTCTCAGGCGCTGACGCAATGAATAAGCCGCTTCACATATGCTCTCCTCTCCTGGAGAGCTTACCCATGGCCAAGCGAGCCGGCTGCAAAGTCTTCGTCAAGTGTGACAACACTCAACCGTCTTCTTCCTTCAAGATAAGGGGTATTGGGCACAGGATACAGAAGGTAAAACAAAGAATATTCAGTCCTGACTCCCTAGTAAGTGAGAAAAAAAATCATATTGTGAAATCTAGGACTGTCAGAGTGATTTGATTGTTCAACAGGGATGAATTCTTGGAAACCCATGAAATATAAACTCTACCAAAAAAATGGCAGGGACCAGGTCGTACTTTGTTATCGGTTTATTTTCTTATTTGCAAATTCCGAAACAACCTTGGTGAGAATAAATTGTGACTTTTGACAAGCCACTTGCTACGAGTTGGAAGATAAAAGATAGACAGAAAAAGAAAAAGTCTTGCTTCCCAAGAATGCCTCTAAAGTGACTTCTGATTTCTTTCGTTTCAAAGCGAAGTGTCTGCTTTGTTTCAATACAACCTGTAATAGCACACCGATACTCAACATCCGTCTTGCAATGATTCAGTCTTAGCCACACCCACCCCTGTTTGCACTCTGATTCTGTTTGCAAAAATTGGAAATTCAGCTTCTAAGAATTTTCTGGGCTCTTGTTCCCATTTTAGGCAATCCAAAAAGGAGGCAAACACATCATCTGTTCATCAGGTATTGTTTACTCTAGCCATTTCTTCAAAGTTATTTATTTACATGTAAAGGGGATTTTTTTCTTATTGACATGGCCAATTTTGCTGATCTAAATTTTAGGAAAAGTGAAGGCTTTGGCAAGGCTTTGATTGATACTTGGACAAGCCTCAGATTGACATCCAAAAATCCAGGCATGCTTGAAATGAAACATAATTTGTAAAAGGGAACATACATGTAGATAAAAGTTCTTCTCTATTTCTTAACTGGTGAATGCATTACCACGAGCATCTGTAAAATACGTTACGGTTTGGAGACACAATAACTGTTTGTTATTTGTGCCAACAACAAAACAAATCACAACAACTATAGAACAAACATGTTTGCTAAGGATGTATCTTCCCACCAAGGATAAGACTGGACCCGACAGTTTTAGCTTCATCTGGCAGCAAGCCTGAGAAAGTTTCTGGCTGGTGGCCACGGCCGTTTCCAGGAGGAGTGCATGCTGCAGTCGGCCACAACCGAGACATATGGACACAAGTCGCACAACTATGAAATAGGCTAAGCCTATCTGGGGGAAAATGCAATATAGATGTAGCTAGTGGCACAGTGGAGCAGTGACGATAGTTAACGATGAAATTCAACCAGTATTGCCTAAATGGTGCATGGTTGGGCTGTTGAGTTGATCACCTGGAACAGGCCTTTGGGCATGACTGCATTGCTGGTTGTCAGTATCCGTTCTCATTGGTCAGTGAAGGAGTTGACAGCTTGTGTAAAACTGAGCCGATTCGCATGTGCACATACAATTTGAGTTAGAAGTTGACCAGTTGGACTTGTCTAAAGGTTTTGTGTCCATTCTAGTCTTTATTTCTTCTCCTTACAACAGGCGGTAATGCAGGGTTTGCCACGGCCTACGCGGCCAGACAGCTGGGCATGCCTGCCACCATCGTTATCCCTGAGAGCACTCCCACCTTTGTAGCAGACGGACTCAGAAACGAAGGAGCTAATGTCATCGTCCGTGGCAAAGTAATTACGTACATATTTCCTGAAAATCTGCTTCTCAGCTCCATTTTTTTTCTTTTGATAAATACCATGTCAATGTGAGTCACAGGCATAGTCCAAAGTACTTGGCTATGGCTTAGCAAGAGTACATTTGTTTAGGAAAAAAAGAGTCTGTCACTGTCTGGGAGCTTTTAATTTTGTGTGTTGCATGTTGACGGCCGTAGCCAAATAACTGGCCCAAAGGCTGATTCAGAAGTTGTCAAGTAGTCTTGCAAAATGCTTTTTAGTCTCTTGAATTTTGTTTTCTTGTCTCTTATTCCTGAGAAAGATTCTGTCAGATTTGAAGCGTAGACTTTTTCAATGTACATGTGTATATCTTAGGTCACTGTAGTCAGCAAGCAGTTTGCAGCATCTTTATTACGTCTTTTTGCAGGCATTTTTTTATCGTCTCGCACTCTGAATTCGACTTCCCTGCTTGGCACTTGCCATTGTTATGTCAATGACAGATCCTATTATTATTCAGGAAAAAAGGGGATGCCTGGAATGAACGAGTGGGACATGTTGAATTCATTAATGGACCGTTTGTGAACAAAAGAAGAAGAAAAACATTTCCCCCTCAAGAAAAGGAGGGACATGCCAGGCGCAGTCCTCCCTCCTATCTCTGCTTTATATCATTTATGTTGCAGCTTGTCCAGCTGATACCTGCTCTGCTCGGAATTGCCAACCTCGGGCTCGCAGGTGGTAAATAGGTACAGGGGTGAAAGCCAAATGCACAAAAGATGTGAGAAATAATTCATACATTTTACATGTACATGCCAGACACGAACAAGAACGTGCCTGTGATGTGTCCCTGGTGACTCTTATGTAGTAGCTCAAAATTCCCTTCTCTTGGTTATGCATGGAACTCGTAGCTAGAGTGTCTCTTTTTAGCATGTAGAGTTTCAAAGCCAAAATGCGTTTGACGTGTGGAGAAGTCAAGGGTACATTTCGTTAGTCATAACCAAGAAGTTTGGCTATTTCTCATTTGAAAATTTCCTATGGGCAAGAAATGGGTGTTACGATGTAGTAACTAACCCCCAAAACAATTAGAGAAAAACAGCTGGACCAGTTCTTGTGATGACTGCCAAATGCACTCCATATTTGACTTTAAAAGGTAGAGTAGGTCACTTCCAGGTTGTTTATAGAAATTTCTGCTTAGTCAGCGCAGAGGCCACTTTGTGGAAGTGTTGTGAGCAGAGTTTAATTAAGCTCAGAAGAGATGCAATAGACTGTATTCGTGTCGGCCATCTCGAATTGAAAATGAGGTTTACTGTTCATTTTTGGAACCTGAAAGTAAAATTAACAGAAACAAAATGAAGCCCGTTCCAAGTGAATGCCAGCTTTACGTTTTGAATAATTTCTAATTTGTGATATCTGTGATGGAGTTTGTGAGGAATTTTTCAAGCCGTATTTCACAAAAAACTGAAAGTGAGGTTTTGAACTCATAATGGTCTGGCATCACCCGGTAACCAGATTACCACCATCCCCATAAATAAGGTCTGTTCATTCTTGTTGCTGAAGACTAGGAACTTTTCCTCTTCTGTCCATTTCTCAGGTATGGGATAACGCCAATGAGTATGCTTTGAAGTTGGCAGAGGAGACAGACGGGTCAATTGTAATCCATCCATTTGATCATCCGGATGTGTGGTATGTATGTGTCTCCAAAGACTGTCAGAGTTTGATTGCCGTAATGAGTAGAGGGTTCTGTGTGTGAATGAAAGAGGAAACTGTGTTTCCTAGCAACAGTATCCAGGGTAGGCTGACATCGCATTTACACAAATGGCAGAGGATCTTTAAGTTACAGTCATCAGTCATTAGAGTGTACCATTTTTGAATGGGTGTCCCTAAGATAGGAGTACCTGAACTGTATTCCTAATGTCCGTTGTAACTTTGCCAGCTGTTCTAGAATATTTCAGAGCATTTTGAAAGGTCACTCTTCTTTAACTTTAGTGTCCGGCCTTTCGTGGTGAAGCTCCAAGACTTGACATGCAACAGCTACAAGATAAGAATCATGTGTTCATATGTATACTCTGCTCTCTCTGGATGGGAAACTGGTGCCAAATAGTTGTGATGTGGTATCCTTGTTTTGTGTGAAACCAGTCTTTTTTTTTACTTAG